TTAAAATAGGCTTATTAAAATGGTAATTTGGTAATAAATAAAAACAGATTGCAGCCAAATCCAAATCAGTTATCCCAGAGCATCTAAATATTTTTTTTTAAATATTGAATTTAAATAAGTTTGGTTAATTGATATGCCTAATTGAGTAATTAATATAATAATTCCAACAAGATTGGTTCTTAGTTTGCAATTTCTTCAAACAAAATTAAATTGTAAAAATAATTCATCAGTTTGTGAGACAATTGTTATTTATTCAATTGAGTTACCATGAATGGATATATATACAATATAATATATACAGTAGAGAACATTCTCACACACTGTATGAAGTCTGAAGCATTACTTCATTCACACATAAGTTTACAAATATCAACTACGATCACGGCAGCATATCCCATATCCCTTTTCAGATATCAACGTTCAATCCACGGCAGCAACATTCTGAGAGTCGTGATATAATATTAAAAAAATAGTTTAAAATTGATTGCATTACCAAGTATAACTACAGAATAACTTTTAACATACTCAATAAATGATGATTTACTAAACATCGCATAATCGCTTAGCAACCAAACATTTGATAAGTGAAAGACGGTACATTTGATAAAGTAATATAGTATATAATGTGCATTAGGAACGCTAAAATTAATAAACCTGCTCGAAACCTATAGTTATAAGTATATTCGTTCTGATACTACTATTATACATCGTGTACGAATATTAACTAAAACATCAGCGGTTTTCGAGAAGATTCTATTGAATTTAAAAAAAAAACTCTCTATCTAAAAACGTTTATACAAAATACAATTTTGAATAACAATCACCATAAATTGAAATGTGATAATATTTTTCCTGGTGAATAATTTTCTATCGAACAATTATTAACGAGTCTGTATAATATATACCAATACATGGTACTAATGAAAGTTAAACTAGATAAAACAATTATTTAAACATATTAATTATTATTTGGAAAAAAATGATTATGTCATTTTGGTAATTTATAATATCTGTGTATATATGAAAGGTGAACATGTTTCTCACATAGAGGAATTCAAATTCACAATAACATCTGAAGTGTAAAACATTGAATAATTGTGTTTGATACAATTACCCACAATCATAGCATGTGTGATTTGTAACAAAGAACTACACATATTAGCTGACTTCCGCCAGAGTTTGAGATAAATTTGACATTTTGATCACACACTACAAAGCGTAATTTTGAAAAAAAAATACAACAATAGTAGGAATAGTTGTTGTAGTAAATAATAAGCCAAAACACCAACGGTACAAATCAAAGTAAATTCTGGGTAATTTATAGTGGTGCGTGATGTGCAATACAATCAGAACACAAATAATTGGGTTCTAAAAGAATAAAACTGAAGATTCTCATTCAAAAGATAATTTCAGAAAAACCTCGTCAGAATACTATGAATCATAATGAAATGCAATAACACACATTTTAGTATACACTAGAATATACATGTTTGCAAGGAATAATGCTATAATAACGACAACGATAAATAATCTAAAAAAATCATCTCGATCCTGAGGAGTACATGAATCGTTTTCATGAAAAATAACCACATCCTATTTTTATAGTTTGAAGCAATATTAAACAATTCTTCATATTCACACAATACGTTAAACATTTTTAATTTGGTCTGCAAGTGAGACAGAAACCCTACGATCCTTTCTGGCCTTATTTTCTGACCCGGCTGCAAGAAAGCGGAAATATAATTTTGTCACTGAATATTACATATTATTGACGTACATGTCACATAAAAACAAATTTACATAGTATATTAGATTATATTTCGTATAAAAATAATTTTGTCCATGTATATATATATATAGATTGTTGTGACAAATTTAATCCTATAAAATATTTCGTTAGTATCATCATTTAATCCCATTCCACTGTGTATAAGAAAACAAGGAGGACACCAATATAAAAGTACTAACCTTTAGCTTGAGCTGACTGCGCATGTCCTTTAGCTACACTGGCTCTGCGTATACTGTGCCTTTTCTTTGGCTTTCCTGTATAAAGGAGATTTCATTAATTGTACGTCAAAAGTGAAATAACAATGAGTGCGGATATAGGCTTCGGGCGTGACTATGTATAATGGGAGTTGATTTTAAGTATTCTTAGCTTGTTGCCCAATGTTACTTAATCACATTTTTTCTCAAATTTAAACGGTTTATTAGTTACAAAAAGATATAATAATGATTCATTAATCCGATACTAAAAGTTGACATGAGCCAATAGTGTAAAATGTAAATACTGACCTTGTTTGCTATCTGCAGAAGGATCATCTGGATTAGGAACATTGAGCAATTGAATCTGCTCTTTAAATACACTGGCTTTACGAATGCTATGTCTCTTCTTAGGCTTCCCTATAAATATATTACAATTATATTATGCAGTGATCAATAATATATATGTAACCACAGACAGTTTTAACTCATACATTGCATTTGATTGAGGTATAATAGACTCTCTCTAGGCGGGAAAGTGATATCACAACCATGGCAAATTGCATGGCCACTGTAAGCAGACGTGCACCTCAATGCACCGAAATAATGGTTAACATTGTATGTGATGAAAGTGGACATGAACTAGATGGTCATGAACTAGCGAAATCTCCGACGTCATAGACAACTACAGACATATAAGGTTACGTATTTATGGTCAGTACAACATACCCAGTAAAAATGTTTTAATAAAGACAACAAACCCTTTGAATGCAACGCTAGGCGAAATATTTATTTAATAACTTGTATTTGGTCACTTGTTGTAGTAGTAGATTATCTATTACTCTGGTGTGATAGAAACATTTATTTAATTAAAGTAACTATTTTGCAGAAAATTGCAGATTGATACTGTTTTATCATTTTTGACCAGCATTTTGCGAAAATAGCTTAAGTTGAAATCCATTTTCCGTTGTATAAATAACAAAGTGTCCTTATGGCGGTAACAGCCATACCGTGCATACACTCTGACATCACCACTTGTGTCAATTTTACTGACCTCGTGGTGTGACATCACAATTATTCACCAATCGTGATCACATTGCAAACAAGATGTCAATTATTATAATTATTTCTACTCCGCCCATGTTGTACACAGGTATATAATGAATTTACTGACCTTGTTTGCTATTAGCAGATGGATTGTCTGATTCAGGAACTTTGAGCAGCTTGATCTGATCTTTTAATACACTGGCTTTACGAATGCTGTGCCTTTTTTGGGGCTTGGCTGTAAATAAATACATCATACCTTTAATCATGCACACACGTTTTGTTTTGTAAGGCGTATATGAGATGAGTATTTAGTGAATACTACCGACGTTGGATTTAAAGCTGTTTGATCACCCAATGTCACTATGTTTAGGCATTAATTACTGTCACACTGATAACAGTAAAACAATGCGCTTGCCAGACATGCTGTTTCTTTTTATTGGAACCGTTTGCATGCCTTTAAACATCCAGTTATTCTGCACACATTACTCAAATATATATGAATGCACAAATAACCCCGACTCTTTTACAATTACAATATATACAATACTGTTAACATCTTTGTATGTGCAAAACAATCTGACCAGTTCGAGGAATGGGAATATATATCATACACTATTGTATTTTGTTCTTATCGGTGTAATCCGATTTTCCCCACAAGTTTAGACAAAATACCATTTAATATGTTTAATAGTTGCACAGATATATAATAATGATGTACTAATCCGAAATTAAGTTCACTTCACAAGCGGCACCAGTGTGTAATGCGATTACTGACCTTGTTTGCTATCTGCAGAAGGATCATCTGGATTAGGAACATTGAGCAATTGAATCTGCTCTTTAAATACACTGGCTTTACGAATGCTATGTCTCTTCTTAGGCTTCCCTATAAATATATTACAATTATATTATGCAGTGATCAATAATATATATGTAACCACAGGCAGTTTTTTCTACAATCTTTGTGACGCTAGCATAAACGATATATATATATATATTGTAGAGTCACGATTTGGATATCTTATTTATTTCATGTATTTATTTCGCAGCAGTTTTACAAATAGTTCAATATATGGACATCTATTGTGAAACAGGGCTTTTTATATGTATCTTTGACATCGTTATCGTTAGTTAAATGTGACTTCTAATGACATGGAAACCTTGACTGAGACTCGACTTCTAGCCAGTAAATGTCATTGCCGCGGCGAATATCAAACATTTTCATTCGTTCTCGATGTGTTTTTTTGATGCTACCCGGTTTGTTTGACTTTTTATTTTGAGTTGTACAATTCCGGACTGTGAAAGGGCCTCGGTTTGAATTTACCGTGAACATACCGAGAATTACTACATGGAAACGTGACTAATTGTTATTTCATGGCTCTTGTTTCTGCAAGGAATTGACTTGTGATGCAATATAGAATGTAATCTGTGATGTCTCTAGATTACTACCAGTATTAATTTGGAATTTTGAACTCATGCCACGTGCAGATTTATGTCTCGACTTGGAGGAATGAATTCACAAAACCTAATAGAAGATTGCATATAAACTTGGCAAAAAATTAAAAACCTAGCTGTATTTATATGGTTCGATCATGATTTTCTTCTGTAAAGAATAATGCACGAGTTGACAGCATTCCCTTACATATTTGACTTACAACCGCACCTGGAGTTTGTACTGACCAATCACGTTCTAGATCTATTAGTCACATAAATTTACATATTAAGACATCACAGGTGGACGATGTTACACTACATAGTCAACATATGGACATTTATGATTACATATTGAACATGATTTTCGAAAACCGAATCTTGTAGTAGTGAGTTATCGTTAATCTCTCTAGATGAAAGTCCCAGTATCTATCAGTGTTGTAAGGTGACCTCTAATTCGGTGGCCAAATAGGTTTTCATTGCGGTCTTTTGAATACATATTTCAGTTTTTCTCCAGTAAATGATACTCCATCTACTACTATATAGTACTTTTTATGGTGAAACATGCTGTATTTTGTGATTTGCTCGATTTTTTTTTCTCGAATTCGACAAGACGTTTTGTACTAAACCGCCGGCACCAAGGAGTACTGACGCCAAAATACTAAAAACAGCAATTATGTTATGGTCAGTATTATTTGTTGTGAAACCAATTAAATATATAGCCATTGCGATCGTGGGTTGGTATTATTAACGAACCGAACCGTACCGTACCCATGACGTCACGAGTATATACCAACGCTACGAATAAGTGATATCTGGTGATAATAGTTTCAATTCACAAGTATAACTAGGGTAAATCAAAATAACTGACCTTGTCCATCATTAACCTGAAGTGATTGTATTTGTCCTTTAGCTACGCTGGCTCTGCGTATACTGTGTCTTTTTTTAGGTTTCGCTGAATAAAAATGGTACATGATGAAAAGCAGCGATTCACAAATGCATTCACATAAGTTTGATCATAAAGTAAAAGTAACGGGCCTATATATGTTTATTATAATGCGAGTTGAATTTAGAATCAAAAAAAATATCGACAAAACTAGGTGTAAATTGTAGTTATTTACCTTCCCCAAGTTGAAGCAACTTGAGCTGATCTTTCGAGGCACTTGATCTGCGTATACTGTGTCTCTTTTTCTTTCCTGTATAAAATTGATACGTTCTAGTCAACTCTAAGTACTAATAATCATATACGTAAGAATTACTGTTGCCATGGAATAATACTTTTCAAAAATAAAAGCCTTCTCTTCATGGATATGTTATATTGAATATGAGGTTAAAGTTCACTGATATCTTAACAATGTGACTACTACAACAAATAACTTGCCTGATACAACACTCGCTCTGCGCAAACTGCGTCTTCTCCCAGACTTATCTGAATATAAGATAAATATTATGATATGCAGTTTACAACAGCAATATTGTTGATACATCTATATATATTGACAGCTATATATTTACATACTTTTTTTGGCTTTGACAAGTTATGAGCATACTTTTTAAATAAAATTAAGCGTACATATTGTTATTTTTCACTTAACTCACTTTTGTTCGTCGGAGTTTTTGTTTCGTCATCATCAGAGTGAAATGACCCAATGGAATCGGTATCATCGTTTGTCAATATGATTGGAATAGGTGGTTGTGCGGCCGTGTCTTTGGCTGACTGGGGTTTGGGATCGTCCACTCTAAATGTCAACGTAGTTTTGCCAGTCATCTGGGTGGGAGAGTTTTTGGATGGTGTGGATGCAGATGTTGATGTGGTGGTATCAGTCGATCTGTTTAGAAGAGTAGACGGCTGTGTGGCCGTGTCTTTGGTGGCTGACTGTGATTTAGGGTCGTCCACTCTAAATGTCAACGTGGTTTTGTCAGTCATCTGGGAGGGAGAGTTTTTGGATGGCGTGGATACAGATGTTGATTTGGTGGTTGAGTTTGAGTTTGGAAGGTTGGACGGCTGTTTAGGAGAAACAACGGATGATTTGGATTTAGTATCGGGGATTGCAAATGACAATGTAGTCTTGGTAGTGTGTGAGGTGTTTTCATTTTCCTTTGGTACAGATTTGGTATATTGTATTGTGGTAACTGGTTGTTTATGAACGGCTATATTCGACTCTCTAAACAATGCAGGTTTTGTAGACGATTCTTCGGACATGTCAGTCTTGTTTTTGTCCTTAGTCATTATATGTGCTTCCCTGTCATGCATTTGGGGCAGAGGTTTGTCTTCCACAGCAGGCATTTCAATCACACAATGTCTGAAATGAAAACAGCGAATTCAAATTCATACATTAACTAAAGAAAATGACAAATGAAGACTTCGAGACTCTGAAAGCGGATGAATATATCCGGTTTGTGAATAAACACATCACACTCAAAACATTATAAGGGTTAACAAATAAAACGGTATGATTAATGGTAAAGGTTACACGCATTATTATGTATATACTAACTTTGTGTCTTTCTGCTCAATGACTTCTTTTTTATCACGTCTACATTTTTTGGCTATAAAGAACCGCCAACAACAAAATCCAATTAGCAGAAAGAGTAAAAGTCCCAGTAACGAAAGAAAGGCAATTGTAACATTGCCCGCAACAGTTTCAAGCCACCAGTTGCCGATGTTATATGTTGTAATTAGCTCAGTCGCTGGTTCCACCTTAACTATAGGAAAATTGTCAAACTCCGATCCAGTTATGATAGCCATGGGTGTTCCATCTGTGTCTTTTCTCATTGCCGCTGTGAGCTCCTCAAAGTACACAAATTCTTTAATCATGTCGACATTGTCTTGACTGTCAGTAAGATCGTTTGTTAAAGCATATACTTCCACAGTGGCAGTGCTGAGTAGAAATCCATGTTAGAAATAGTTAATGGTCTGTATAGAAATAACTCAATGTATTAATAAAGACTTGTTGAATGCACAATAATTGTTGGACTGTTGACAGTAATGTTTATCTTTAGCTAACATTGTCGACGGGAAAACCAGGAATTGTCGAACCTCCAAGTTGAATAAGTATTCCGACATTCATACTGTTGAGGTTAGACCGTGCATACCAGTGAAGTGCACAAACTGAACTTTACATACATATTTACACATGTATGTGGTAGATCTTGACCAGTTGTCCAATACGAGCTCATTCCGTAAAAAAACAAATCGATAAAAATCAATGAAATCGATGTTGTGTTTAGGTCATGAAATCTGGCTATGCACCATTGTTATACTCGTATATTTTTATTTTGCTGACAATAACTGACAACAGTCATGGGTTGTTACAAAATGTACCTACAAGCTGCGTTGGAAATACAATCAATATATGTATCAATATCTATCATTATAGGAGCTAGGAAAAGTTTCATTTAACTATTGCCCTTGCTAGGCGAACGCGGGCAACACTGACTTGCGATCACCGTTTCACAAAACATCGGGTGATTTTCATGCTCTATTTTTCACTGGCCAAAAAGCGTCGAGTACTACGTCGCTCGTATTATCTGGTATAACAGTACAAAATGGTCTAAAACGCCCTCTACGCATATCTTCCCACAGTGAATATTTATACGTAAACGTGCTGGAACATGCCGGTGCACGGCACACTGCGTTTGTAAAATCTGTAATAGTTATATTCTCACAGATCAAAACTTTGAATTGAAAAAATGAAATTGTGTTTATAGATATGTCAATGTATGTGACGACACTATATAATAGACATAATAGTTTATTAAAGTAGTCTGTATTAAGCTTGTAAGCATCTGAATAATGTCATGTACTGTTAGTCTGCCTTGTCTTCCACGTTTTCTTAATAATGTGTACATGTATAAATATTCCCCAACACTTATAATAAATTATCGCATTTACACACATTTACACTCATTTACCTCTGAAGTAGTTTTCTTGAAGAAACCTGTATATCACCATGAATCGCTGATATTCTAAACTTCCACGGATTATAGATATCGTCCAGTGTTTCAATAAACTCTGTTTGCTTTACTGTAGTGAATTCGTCAACTGAAATCCCCAAATAGAGGTCAACAACAACCAGTTGTGGTATGTAGGTGTCGATACGAATCATAGAAACGCTGTGGATATTAACAGAAGGGATGTTGGCTGTATAAAATGTATTTGTGTCTCTTCTTAAACTTCTTTTTAGTATAATAATGTTGTATTATAAAAAAATAATTGTTAAAAGAAGTCACGTGACCACGTGTTGTGTAAGCACAATTTGCATAATTTACTTTTGCAAGTTGAAAGATTTCAGATTTCAACAGCAATATCACGTGAAACAGCTCAAATGTGAACAATCTCTACATCAAATACGTTGTTTTGCTGTGTGACATTTTTGGTATTTTCTTATGAATCCGAATAATTAATCATATGGTGATTAGTAATGTTTATTGAGTTAATTTCTGACCTACGCTGTTACATTTTCAAAATTTCCTGTAGAGATTAGATTAGATTTGCTAAAAGTATCAATATTAATGTTATGATATAATGCTCTCACAATAATGAGTTTTAAACATGCGGGTTAAATTATTCAGAGCACAAGCTGACGAAATTTTAAAGAAGCTACCATCGGCATATATATCATATTCACCAAAGAGCTACCGCTGTCCTACGAATGTAGAAGGTGCATGCACTTTTTTACCACATTTACAAATAAGTTGCAACCTAAAAAAATTAATTCTGGCAAGCTTTGACATTTCTAAAATATAAAATAACAAACCCTGTTATCATATTTGTCAAACTCCATTTGTATTCCTCTTAAATGGGAGATAGTACATCTTGGATCTTTTATTGTTATTAGGCAGGTACATAACCAATTAAAAAAATTGAGTTCTCGTAAATAATATTAAAGGTATCGGCCTTACGGCATCACCATTAATGTCATCAGTGAGCTCTTCCGGTTTCTGTGATCAGCTATTTAACATATTGTGACAAAATATGTGTACAGTGTGTACAAAATAGTTACATGGTATAGAGTACATTTTAAACCTAGCTTCATCCCACATAAAAGAAGGCAGAGTGAAACCACCATTTTACGGTTGTTTTTAGCGAGGAACTGTTTATCAAATGTTCAACACTGTGTGTTGCAAAATGAGGCAAAAAACAAAATAATCAGCGGAATGACGCTTCAACTTGATAAAAGCCCACTAACATCGGCTTCAGACACAACACCACCTGCACATTTTCAAGTGGGAGAGGGAGGAAGTAATCTTCTATAGAATTCAAGGGGAATGTTCAGAAATTGTGCAGTTAAACAAAACCCGAACGTGGCTATTTTATAGTTACAATAGTTCACGTGGTTTGTGTCGTCAGAGATTAAGGCTTGTTTATTGCTCATGTAGTCACTGTAGGGAGTGCTCATGACAGGCCTTTTCGAGCTGACTTCTTGGGATATAGTTCAATGGGTCAAATATCTAATTTAACAAATAACAAGTAACAAATAATGATGCAGTAATTGCTCTCATGCATGTGAAAGATGTAACTGTTATAATGACTCACTCAGATCCCGCAGGCGGTACACTATCATCTTCGGCATAGCATGTGAGTAGATATTTTTTTTCTGAATCCAGTTTGTTTGTAATAAATACATGACCACTAGTTGACATTTGGAATTGTGGATGTGATAAATATAACTTGAATATTATCGAATCAGTGTTACCTACAAAAAATATATACATATATAATTAATCATACGTATGGTAACATCATATTATTATAAAAACCCACAGTATGTGTAACTAGTTTCTAAATTGTTGTAAAAAGCAGAAACAACATTTTATGATAGTAATATAATTAAACGAAATGAAATATTTATATACAAAATCACCTTGGTAATCGTTATCTATCATCACATTATTAACACTCGTACCATCTTCGGCGTTGTAGGCAACCTCCCAGTTATAATATGTTTGTCCAACAGCGAATGGAAAGGGGATGATTTCAGATGTAAGATCTGTATTAAAAAAATTAATCACAACAGTTGCCGTATCTTGCTGCGAGTTTGTATCCATAGCAACCACTGTAAACTGAGTGGTCCACCCAATGATTGTAGCGTTAATGGTTTGTTTCAAAGTCACTTCCCCATAGAACGAATCAATGTCAAAGTATGCATTCTCTGGTTCTATGGAGTAAGTAATGTTGTCAAGTTCATCTTCGTCCACAGCTAGAACATGCAGAACAGATACACCGTGTCTCGCGCCATCATACACACTTGCAGGATATACTGCCTGAGAAAATGTTGGTGTATTGTCATTGACATCCTGCAGGAATATATTAACTACCAGGAAATCTGTCTCGCCTCTTGGATCCGTGACAGAAAACATTAAGGGAAATGGGACTGGGAAGGATGCTTCATAATCCATGACTTGCGCAATACGTAATTGTGGATTTGTTCCACCAGTTAAACTGAAGTATGGAGAATAGGTCCCAGCAATCATATTATATGTTAAGTCAGTTAATACATCATCCACGTCAGTAACAGTCCAGTCAACAGGCACTTGTGTCAAAACACTCTGTGAAGCAAATATAATTACGATACAGTGTATTTACTACATTTTGACTATGGTTTACTTTTATCAATACTCACTAATGTCGTAGTGAATCCACCAGTGCGAAATATTGAATATTCGGTTTACTTACCAGCATGTTATTAAATGTCTACACTGTAAACGCTAATGTAATTATATTCAAATTATCAAATTAAGAATACCTGTTCCTCATCCAAATAAATATCTTGGTTATCATTTACAAATATGGGTGGTTCTGCTATATCCACAATATCGACATTCAGGGTACCAGTTGCAGTTAATGCCCCATCAGTGGCTTCTAATACTAAGGAATATTGGTCAACATCCTCGAAGTCAAAAGAAGGATTGCTAGATATAGAAACGGTCGCATCGTAGGTATCTGTTGTGAGTAATAAGAACTGACTTAAATGATATGTTCCATTTCCTGCATGTGTTATGTAATAAATTAAAATAAACAATCTTGATAATAAACATATCTGTGTAAAACTGAGTGTTTTACAACTGTTTGTGCAGTGAGTATATTACATGCTATTGTCAGTAAATGATTATCGATTAATGAACATCACCGAATGATTTAGACTGTGGTCATAGTATGGTTTGAACTGGTAATCTTTATTCGGATGGTTAAAACGGGGAGACGAAAACGCCAAAGCCCGGAGAGCAAACAAGTGTAGTTTCCGATAATCAAGTCTATGTAAAAAGGTAGTTTTAAAATGTAAGTCCAGCATATCCTTGTATAAAGTAACATGTTTTTTTTGTATGGTAAATCACGTGATTCAAATTGACACGTCACATTACTCAAACCACGTAGGATAGGACAGTGATTTAATACACCAACATATGTTTCCCGACAATACATTGAATAAAAGTATAATAGTGATTTTAACACCTCCGCATCCACATTACGCAACCATGCTCCCACTAGGCATGTATCATACATGCATTACGTGACTATGCATGCTTCCACTAGGCATGTATAATACATGCATTACGTGACTAGGCATGCTTCCACTAGGAATGTATTATACATGCATTACGTGACTAGCCATGATTTCGCTAGGCATGTATCATACATGCATTACGTGACTAGGCATGCTACCACTAGGCATGTATCATGCATGCATTACGTGACTATGCATGTTTCCACTAGGCATGTATCATGTATGCATTACGTGACTAGGCATGTTTCCAAACTAGGCATGTATCATACATGCATTGCGTGATTAGGCATGCTTCTACTA